TGGGACAAGTGGTTGACCCATGCCAGCAACACCACACACTCACTCACATATTTATCTAAACATCGTAAATATTCCAGCACGAGACGAGAAACACTGCACGAAGAATTAGAGTCACAGACATGCATGTAATTTGGCCACAGTAGTTAAGGTCTTTTCTTAAGTCTAATATTTCCTGTAAAACACTAAACAATATGTGAGTGAGTGTGTGTGTTGCTGGCAACGATGGGTCTACCACTTGTCCCAGTCTGACCTCACTAGACGAGGTACTCCAGCGCCCTCGTCCTTCAGCTAAGGTAAGCAATACCTCGATGCTCAAGCGACACCTTCACCTCCGCTGATTATATATGTGGATTAAAATATGATTAATCTTGTGGTGTATGATAATTGTGACTTATATAAATGCTTCAAAGAGATCATAAATAATTAGTTTTCTTGCCATTTCAGGTAAGTTTTTAAAATTTCATCGTGGGACAGAAATGCATCATTTTTGAAGGTACGTGACAGTTCTCTTTTGTTTCCATTGTTGTCATATTATGATGTGGTAATTAATCACGACTTAAGACAAGTCGGATAACAAAGTTGCTTCATAAATAAAGGCAGGAGGTGTACCTTGGAGGAGGAGCGTCCGGTAGACGAGGTCATCAGAGAGACAATGTCTCTGGTCACTAGTATAGCTGACATTACCCGGCGGAAGGCGGGTCGCCAAGCGTTGGGTCCCAGGAATCACAGTTGTAGGGGAAGACGAGGCGCTGAGTGAACGGTTCCTTGGGTACACTTCCGTGTACTGGGTGTGTGTGGAGACACATTTGTGGGCTGAAATACGTCGAGGGAGTGTTGACAAGCTGCCTGGCGCACCAGAAGTGACCTAGTCGACCAGTTGTCGTGGCGGGTGGAGCCGGAGGTCCCGGTACACAGGTGTAGTGAAGGAAACACCAGCACAGAGATCTAGGTAAACTCCAGTTGACCGACCACCAGTTAATTTGTTTGGTTTGTCAGGTTTCTAAATTAGTGGCAAACAAGTGACTTTGTTATAAACTTCCAAATGTAAAGTAGCTGTAAACTTGTTCCCAGACACACATAATGTGGCACAATCGACAAATTCAGATAATTTTGTAACACAAAACGGATGGTAATTATGTTCACTGATGGAACCGTAGCAACTGTGAAGCACTTCAGAGTTACAGTGTCTACAGGGGACGAAAATGTTGCAAGATTCAAACTGATTTATGGTGGTTGTTGCAAGACTCTCGTCCTGCCACACTGGGCAGGACGAGTCTCCTACATAGGAGTAGGAGAATAGTGGCGGTGTTGAGGAGAGCAGAGGTGACTGTCACGTCTGGTGAGTGTAGTGACAGGTGAGGGTGTCGGCTGACTTGTATACATCAGTGAACAATGGAGAACACCGAGATAAAATCCGGGGCTTCGTTTCAGGGTTCGGTGAGGGACCTCGAACAGCGAGACTCGCGGGTGGAGTGAGTAAGACTGGACTTATAACAGGATGGAAAAAGAGGTAGAATTTGTTAAACCTTTAGATAGGATTATGAGAAAGAAGAACAGCTCTCCTGGATAGGAAGATAAATTGGAGGTTTTGATGTTAGCTCACGAGAGAGCCGATAAATCCTTCGAGATGCAACATAAGACGAGGAAATTCAGAGGATTCTAAGCTATAGGATAAGACAGTGGAGAACCACAGACAGCCAAGGGGGGGGGGGGGGTGAGAATGAGAGTAGAGTCCCCACCAGTTTTGATTACCGGAGAAACCAAATTTGTTTCGTTTCTAAAATCGGGCGCAGCTGAGTTGATGTCTTAATAAACGGCGGACAACACTTGTGGTTTACTAAGAAAGTGAGAGAGATTTACTGATTATTGTCATTGGAGAAATGTCTGAATTACAAGTGTTTAAAACACAGGGTGTTACGGGCACCGTCTCCCCCCCCCATCTCAAGCAACACCCAAAATTTTTCTGCTTAAATTCAATAAATGCGAATTTACACATATCTAATAAAATATGAGAATCGTATATAATGAAACGGAAAAGGGAGGGGGCCTTAGTTACGATGTTTATCTTGAACAATATCGTCCAACTCTCACGCAACTTGTATTTGATAACAAAATACAGAGCAACAATTGTATGCAGTTTTGAGATAATCTGGTATCTCTCCCTGCTCTCCGGTGTTCTGTTATTCCTGTTGTTTCTCCACGTTCTTTCACTCAATTTACTTTCTTACATGCCTGTTTGAGCCATGGATTCTTGGATTGCCTGGATGAACCACGGGTTGAATAGGGTGAAGCCAGGTGGATGGCGGAAGAGGCGGATGAACTGCTGGAGGAGACAGTTGAAGGGAAGTTGTGTGGAGGAAATTTTAGGTAGAGGTGTAAGGGGGACTCTAGATGAAGGAGAGGGGAAAGGGGAAAGGGAGGAGGGGAAAGGGAGGAGAAAGGAAAAAAGGGGAGGAAGAAGGGAAGGGAGATACTGCTGTTGAATTATTTCATCCCCCTATTAGTTTGCTTGCAATCATAATGCTTGCAAGTATAAAAAGCATAAAAAAAATGCATTTTGAAATTGGAAGTGTCTGTGCCTTTAAATTTCAAAACTCCCAAATACTTTCAAAGATACAGGAATTAACCAACGACTTAGAATGAGAGTTGGAGCACAAGAAATACATTTTCGTCTTTGTCTTAGTCCCCCAGGATCTTTGTTTTTATTAATTTCATTCAGATTGGATGTACATTTACATAAAGACAAGGCAGGACAATGACTTCGAATGAGAGGGGGAGCCCATGAACTAGCATCTGTCTGTTGACTCTGTCGTCGAAAGTACATTTAACATTCAATTTAAATCAGTTGTATTCTTAGGAAATTATGACGGACGATATCTAGAGGTGGATCCTAGAGCTGGGACCAGATTCACGAAGCAGTTACGCAAGTACTTACGAACCTGTACATATTTCCTCAATCTTTCACGGCTTCGGTTACATTTATTGAACATTTTACTAGCATGAAAACTTTCCAATTCATTGTTGTTATTGTTATAAACAGCCTCCTGGTGCTTCGGAACTCATTATCTGTTTAATAATTGTAAACAAAGGCGCCAAAGATTGAGAAAAGATGTACAGGTTCGTAAGTGCATGCGTAATTGCTTCGTGAATCTGGCTCTTGACCTCTGACCTTGCCAGGCTCAAGACCCAGCCTTTTAGACCTGAAGCAGGAACGGAAGCTTTGCCCTTGACGCGAGACGGACCCAAAAAATAGTGAACCCAAATTCTGACTTTTGCCCGGGCTTCAGATAGACCCCAAAACACCCGAAGCTGCAAGCCTGCCTGTTGACCAGACTTTACATAGACCCTGAAATGGGGTGAAGCCAAATCTGGACTATTTCTGAAAACCAAAAAAATCTGGATTTGGCTTCATTTCCTCTATTCTTAACTTCTTAATCTGTTGTTGGTTGTATGAGCGAGATTGTGTTTTTATAAACAATGGCGACGGAAAGACTTATATTAATGGAGGTAAGAATGAACTAGTAACCCCTTTCATCTGCGGAAAAAAGAAAACAGGTGATGTATAAATAGTTCAGATATATCTGCCTTTGCGGAAAAGCCAACCCGTCCTTTTAAAAATAACGTCACTTTTGGCTGGTATGCGTACTGTGGCCAAATTTGGACGTAGTTTGAAATGAAATTGACTCACAAAAGTGACGTTCTGTTCCGTTTTCTATTTGAGTCGTCCGGCGTACGCGCAGAGGTTATAAGAGGACAGTTTAAATTAACGTTTTTCATAACGTTTTGAAACTTTATGAGAATTTCCTGCCCACCTAACCTATCAGAGGACCCTTAACTTACTGTTGTTGAAAAAAAAAAATCCCAAATTTATTTTCATTTTTTTTTCATTTTCAAATTACGTCCAAATTCGGCCATACAGGCAAACGGCCAAAAGCGACGTTCTTTTGAAGAGGACAGGTTGTGCTTCTCCCCAGTTAATAATCACGTTTTGAAAATCTGCTGTTATGAATTTAAATTTTCCTCAGCTTCCGAAGGTGCTGAAGAGTATTTTATTGAAACTCGTGTTTCAACGACACGCATCAGGCTCCATAAAAATGAAAAATGCCCCTTCGACAGTTAATTATCCATCCTCATTCCCATATGTAGAAAAATATATAAAAGATTCGTGTTAGCATCATAGATTTAACTCTTACATATTAAGTAACGTATCTATAAGAAAGACTTTTCAAACTGAATATCCTTGTATTGTACGCCTGTGTGCCCCCAGGCGGGACCAAAGAGCCAGAGCTCAACCCCCCACAAACACTACTAGGTGAGTACTGAAGAGCCTGGCGGAAATGGTATGATTGCCTTGTATGTTTCTGACTCGTGAAGGAGTTGTGGTCCCAGGTCTGAGACATTTGTCTCGCGTGATGCTAGGTCCCATGATACTCTGGGAGGAAGCTTTTCTCTCAGTGAATCCAGACACTTCCAAATATACTCACAGCTCGACACCGGATACACTCACCTCCAGACACAGATATACTCACTTCCAGACTCCAGATATACTTTGTCTACCTCTCTTTCCTTCTCCCTCTCCTCTCTCTCTCTCTCTCTCTCTCCTCTCTCCTTTCCTCTCTCCTTCCTCCCTCTCTCCCTCACTCTCCCTCCCTCTCTCTCCCCTCTCTCCCTCACTCTCCCTCTCCCCAACCACGCTCTTATTACCTGGCGTGTCGTCTTCTGGCTACACTTGAGGCATGTCATGGTCCGCTGATCGCCTTGTCAGCGCCCTCATGCATACACACTCCGGCCTCAGCCGGGGCCTCTACACCTCCTTATTCCCACCACTTCCCGCCTTTATACTGACGACGCTCCACTTTAAGCTCCTCGACTCCGGCCGTGTTGCAGCCGGAGAGTTTGTACCGACCTCCTCACGTGGAGGACGACGAGGGCGGAGAGTCAAGACGATCCTCCTTAGAGAAGCACACGGGGGCTTTTTACCTTGAGGAGTGACGTGGGGTTTAGACGAACGTCTTTAGCGTTGAGGCTGACGTGGGGTTTGGGCGAACGTCTTTGGCGTCGAGAGTGACGTGGGATTTGGACGAACGTCTTCGGCGTTGAGGGTGACGTGGGGTTTGGACGAACGTCTTTGGCGTCGAGAGTGACGTGGGGTTTGGACGAACGTCTTTGGCGTCGAGAGTGACGTGGGGTTTGGACGAACGTCTTTGGCGTCGAGAGTGACGTGGGGTTTGGACGAACGTCTTTGGCGTTGAGGGTGACGTGGGGTTTGGACGAACGTCTTTGGCGTCGAGAGTGACGTGGGGTTTGGGCGAACGTCTTTGGCGTCGAGAGTGACGTGGGGTTTGGACGAACGTCTTTGGCGTTGAGGGTGACGTGGGGTTTGGACGAACGTCTTTGGCGTTGAGGGTGACGTGGGGTTTGGACGAACGTCTTTGGCGTTGAGGGTGACGTGGGGTTTGGACGAACGTCTTTGGCGTTGAGGGTGACGTGGGGTTTGGACGAACGTCTTTGGCGTTGAGGGTGACGTGGGGTTTGGACGAACGTCTTTGGCGTTGAGGGTGACGTGGGGTTTGGACGAACGTCTTTGGCGTCGAGAGTGACGTGTAGCTGGATGAACGTGATGTATATCTCATCATCTTCTCTATTTCTCATTAACATTCATCACTTTAGTGCGATTCCTCTGACTTTTAACGTAACAGTCAGAAATACAAGTCTCCTACGTAGAATATGTGGGCTAAGGTTACTTGAATGATGATGGAGAATTACGGAGGCCACGCAGCGGACAGCACGCTGGACTTGTGATCCTGTGGTCCTGGGTTCGATCCCAGGCGCCGACGAGAAACAATGGGCAGAGTTTCTTTCACCCTATGCCCCTGTTACCTAGCAGTAAAATAGGTACCTTGGTGTTAGCCAGCTGTCACGGGCTGCTTCCTGGGGGTGGAGGCCTGGTCGAGGACCGGGCCGCGGGGACACTAAAGCCCCGAAATCATCTCAAGATAACCTTAAGATAACGCAGGGAAGCGTGACTTCATCTCCCTGACGTAGATGAAGATAGAAAGAGCACAACTTGCTTACGAAGAGAATGATGGAGAATGTGAACGTGTTTGAATTATCCTTACACAAAGACGGACGATAATGCTACATATGACATGGTTTGACAAGCCGCCGGCTTCCTGTCCTCATCGAGGCTGCTAGTATTAGTGGCTCTCAGGTAAATATATAGAAATCGTTAGTCATTTTACACTATCTTGAGGTTATCTTGAAATGATTTCGGGGCTTAGCGTCCCCGCGGCCCGGTCCTCGACCAGGCCTCCACCCCCAGGAAGCAGCCCGTAGCAGCTTTCTAATGTCCAGGTACCTATTTATTGCTAGATGAACAGGCGCATCAGGATGAAAGAAACTCTGCCCATATTTTTCCGCATCCACCGGGGATTGAACCCGGAATCTTAGGACTACTAATCCCGAGCGCTCTCCACTCAGCTGGCAGGCCCCTACATACAGTAAATTACCCTGAAACGAAACTTTTAATCCTGAGTACCTTCTGCTGGCAGGAATGATTAGAGTTACGTTCACTGCAGAACTGAATATAGTGAAAAACAAGCTTAATAATTCAGCTGTAAAAGCTAACTGTGTATAATCACGTAATTTAACATTATTCCAAATTAACCAGAGCATAATTTTATGGTTAGTTGTATGAATGGGAGTTACTGTTAAAATAACTGAAGGAAATATATTTTAAAGTGGTATTTAATGATAGGCAATCATAGGATAGGATAGGATAGGTAAGTGGTATTTGATGATAGGCAATCATAGGATAGGATAGGATAGGTAAGTGGTATTTGATGATAGCAGTCTGTTCAACGAGGTCTCTCCAAGTTCGAGGAGTCACTTGCCAAGGAATCGGAGGCAAAGAGACAGAGAAGGAAAGCCGGTAGCCAGGAAGACAGACCAGAATCGGACTTGGTTTGTGCTCGGTGTGGGAAGGACTGCCACTCTCGGATTGGCCTCATCAGTCACACCAGACGCTGCACCAGGATTGACAACTAGGGCGCTACTCCATAGTCTCCCGAGACTGAAGGATGCCTACATGTACATGATAGGCAGTTAGATAGTTATATATAACTCGGTGTTGAACAACGTTAAAGAATATGTTATTTTGGAATATGTTTGGTGGTTGGAGGGATGTCTCGGAAGACATTAAATAATTTGCTGAATTCTTAATATAATTTTAATATCCAGAAAAGCTATAACAAATAAAATGTTCAGTTGATGTGATGCTTGAACAGAGCTCAGTGATGAGAAAAACCATCACCTTACATGAGAACATCAGCAGCAGCCGTGATGAGGACTCGAACCTTTGCTCTGGGTACTCCCAACCATACGCCTTAGACCACTAGGCCACGACATAGTAAAAAAAAGATTGCAACCTGGGATCCTACTGAAACCGTGAGGGTTTCTGGACGACAGAACCAGATTGCATGGTGGGATTGTTTGATCCTCTGGTTCGGCGTCAGTGGAAGCCGCCTTAAGTGGTAATCAAAGCCTTGAAGGAGACGAGAGTGATCATCCATCTCTGTTGGTTCATGACTTCGTAAAGAGAATCGAGTGCTCTCATTGCGTCTCTAACGGTGCCAGGAGGCGCAGTGTGACCTCAAGGCCCGTCTGGCTCTGCACGATTTAGAAACGTTCCGTGGGCGAAGGATAAACGTTGATTCATTGATGAAGCAACGTTCTTTGTCCAGATTTTCCCGGGGGAAAGGAAAGGAGGTGATGGAGCAGCTCAGCCTTTTCTGTCAAGTTTCCAGCTTTTCTGTCAAGTCTCCAACTTTTCTGTCCAGTGTCCAGCATTTCTGTCCAGTGTCCAGCTTTTCTGTCCAGTGTCCAGCTTTTCCGTCCAGTCTGCTTCAACTCAGCAGTAGCTGACTGCTGATCCACGATACAGGAACACGACAAAAGTTATTTTACATGATGCGCATTTTGAGATCCTCTCGTCGCTGGACTTCGATGCCACGATACGAAAAAAGTATTTCAGGACAACTTCATGCTGAATCCTTTTACATACACGAACAGTCTGCTGGTGGCGGGAACAATAAGGACGTCAGTCCCACCTGGACCCCAGGAATAGACGACCAGTTGTGTTAAGTCAACAACATTTTTCTCCCAAAGCGCTGACACTTTCTGAGCGAGAGGTGGTTGTGTCATTTATCTTGTCAATGACCATTTACGGTCTGGGGTTTTCACTTCAATATTTTCATGGGTTTACTTTTGTTAGCCCAGCTAGGTGTTCCTGCCTAAATGAGGCTATCTATTGCGAAAAAGGCTCAATGTGCCTGTCAGGAATTATAGAGTGTTGCTGTCAGCCAATCAGGAAGGGTTTCACTTGATTGTAGAGGTAGATGAGTGGTTTAGCCTCTCAGGGTTTGTTTGCACAATCAATAATAACACCATCATTACCAACAATTATTCCACCACAATCACTACCGCTATCTAGGTCCACCACCATCAGTAACAACACAACAACATGGGCGCCAAGAACCCCAACAACCCCATCTCCCTCCTGAGCCCCACAACCTCCCCCATAACACCACCACAACTCTTCCCACATAACTAGCAGTTGCGTGTGTGTGTGTGTGTGCGTGTACCTCAACGCCACGATTGATCAATTTGTTTCGTGCTTCGATCCCACTCGGCCCAACACGGCCGCGGTTCCCCACTCCCCCTCTGTGTCTCTTAACCACTGCCTCCTCCACTTCCAAAGGATAAACTCCATGAGAAAGAGAGAGAGAGAGAGAGAGAGAGAGAGAGAGAGAGAGAGAGAGAGAGAGAGAGAGAGAGAGAGAGAGAGAGAGAGAGAGAGAGAGAGAGAGAGAGAGAGAGAGAGAGAGAGACATGAATTTTATTGACACTCTCCAGCACCTGGAAACCATTTTCCCATGAAGGCAATCTCTGAGAACTCAACAAAATATCCGTAGCTCAGAGGCAGCCCGTTGACGAATTTCTGTGACTCGTCCATAAGGATCCGGACAGCTGGCTGCTGCCGGGGGGAATATAGTGCTTTCCTGAACGGCTTCCAGCATCGTGGGGGCGGATGGCAAGACCTGTAGTGTTGCTAACTTGGATTGAAGAAAAACGAAGTTGAAGATTCTATTCACTTGGGCTCCAGGAGACTCGAACTGTGTACCCTGCGGGTGTGAGGCCGAAGCTCTCTCGACCGAGCTATTGAGTGGTCTTAATAGGGAAAGTTTCCAGAAGCAGCGTCCTGCTGCTAAACTGGAATGTTTCGACTTTTCCTGACTACTTTATTTCTACGGAATTGTGGATGATGATTTATATGAGGTAGAAGATAATTTTGATGCACGTTTCAGTTTTGTGTTAGTTTTTAATTGCATTTCCCATTACTAGAGTGCAAATTATAGCTGAATGATCGCTTAATGATTCAGTAATATATAACTTTGAAAATAATGTAGAATGAAGAACTGAGCCCTCAGGTAAATGAGCAGGTGTTACAGCAAATTGAGTGTTATGAAGAAGCATTGTGAAGATATTTACTTAAGAAGTGCTGTTCCATTTGCTAGTACCTACATGGCTGGCCCTGTAGTGGGTGTACCTACACCCACCACCTACACCCACCACCTACACCCACCAACCTACACCCACCAACCTACACCCACCAACCTACACCCACCAACCTACACCCACCACCTACACCCACCATCAACACCCACCACCTACACCCACCACCTACACCCACCAACCTACACCCACCACCAACACCCACCACCAACACCTACCACCTATACCCACCAACCTACACCCACCAACCTACACCCACCAACCTACACCCACCAACCTACACCCACCAACCTACACCCACCAACCTACACCCACCACCAACACCCACCACCAACACCCACCACCTACACCCACCAACCTACACCCACCACCAACACCCACCACCAACACCTACCACCTATACCCACCAACCTACACCCACCAACCTACACCCACCAACCTACACCCACCACCAACACCCACCACCAACACCCACCACCTACACCCACCAACCTACACCCACCACCAACACCCACCACCAACACCTACCACCTATACCCACCAACCTACACCCACCAACCTACACCCACCAACCTACACCCACCAACCTACACCCACCACCTACACCCACCAACCTACACCCACCACCTACACCCACCACCTACACCCACCACCTACACCCACCACCAACACCCACCAACCTACACCCACCACCTACACCCACCACCTACACCCACCACCTACACCCACCAACCTACACCCACCACCTACACCCACCAACCTACAACCACTACCCTGTCTAGTGTCCTCCCTGAATTACCACCACCACCTGTTCTCATCCCACGTACACCCACACATTCTTTTAAAAAAAAAATTAATCCTAGGCACAAGTTGGTAGTTTCCGGCAATGACCATCGTTACAACCGGTGATTACAACCTGTCGTGTCAGTTGTCATTCCGAGGTGATTAACTACCTTCCCCGTCTCTCAGGTGGTTCAATAACCTGTAATTAGCATCACCTGGAATTACAGGTAGTTAGTTAAGGTGAATGATGTCAAGATTAACCACAAGTTTATTTTTTTTA